TTGGGAAGCCATGTGACATCAAATCCGGAGTCATTAAGATTTTCATCTCTAGTTAAGTAGCTTCTAATTTAGCCTTAAAAAAAAAAAAAAAAAAAAAAAAAAAAAAAAAAAAAACTTGAACGAAAAGGACACAGGCATGAATACATGAACATAAGCATTATGACTAATGATCTAAATTGCCAGCAAGCAAATAAATTTGGGCAAGGACTAGGTGAGGCAGCCAACAAAAGCCATTAGACATTTGAGGGGAGAAGAGATCAAAATGTGAACAAAGGATGAATCTCAGCTGTTACTATACTCCCAGCTCTGTATACGTATAAATACGTCATACGCCCCTCAGGTCTGTGTACATACAAATATGCCATACGCCTCCCAGCTCTGTATACATACAAATATGCCATACACCTCTCAGGTCTGTATACATACAAACACACCATACACCTCCAGCTCTGTATACATACAAATATGCCATACACATGCACACACACGCATGCAGAAACAAGCACACATGCATAAAGCCTGCAAGGAAACAAAAAGATGCTGATAATAAGTTCGACACCATCAGTCCTATTGCTAATAAAGTAACAGCTGTGCAGTGAAAGCTGAAACTCTGTTCTGGTCCTACTGCTCCATCACACTTACTGGGTATTATTTATAATACCAGGTATTTGACAAGAAGGCCACAGCCATCTCTATTTCAACATCTTAGTAACTGTTACTACAAAAATTTACTTATTTCTTCATTTTCCTCCCCCTTCTCAAAAAGATGACTCAAGACTCATGCATCTCCAACCTGTCTCTGCTCCCAAAGGCCCCACTACAAACCAAATGCCCTTTAGGAAATTCTTCTCAGATCAGATATAAGGATAGACCAACTCTACGTCAAATCATCAACACACCAACTTGGTTTTCCCTCTGATCAACAATGTCACCCGAATACCATTTATTGGAAGGAATTTTAACACACCCTGCCATCACAATCACTCCGTCACCAGAACCAGTGATCTCTTTCTCCCCCTTTCCTTGTAATTTTCTCACTGATAGTTTCCTAGGTTTTCATAACTTCTCTATAAAACTAACCATGAAGCAGTGGTGGTGCACGCATTTAATCCCAGCACTTGGGAAGGAGAGACAGGTAGATCTCTGTGAGTTCAAGGACAGCCTGGTCTACAGAGCTACTTCCAGAACAGCCAGGGCTGTTACACAGAGAAACCCTGTCTCAAAAACTAAAACAAAACAATACAAAAACAAAAACAAGCAAAAAACCAAACTAACCACAAAAACCACACCTCTACTCAAGCAAATGAACCCTCAGTTATAACTGGGCACTATGCAAAGTATTCTATATGCAATTTCTTGTTTAAGCATAAGAGACCACATGAAGAAACAATCATTATCCTCATCTTTTAGATGAAATTTAGCAAGATAAATAGTTACCCATCAAGGCGTGGACATTACTCAAATGTGATTAAGGCTCTGACTTCCCTCATCCTTAAAGACCATCCTGAACATGTCCACCTCTGTAATATCCTTATTTCTAAATAAGACTAAAACAATTAAGAACTTTGGGCTCATAGCCAAACATGCTGGCACGTACCTGTAATCACAGCACTTAAGAAGTTCAAGGTCATCCTCAGATACCTATAGAGGTCAAAGCCAAACCATGTCTCAAAGGTACCCCTCCCTTCAAAGCAGGGTGTATGTACTGGAGATGTAGCTCTACTGGTAGAGTGTTTTTCTAGGATACATAAAGCCCTCGATTACATCCCCAACATCGTAAACAAAAAGTATCATTCCTAGCACCTGGAAGGTAGACCTCTGCAGACCACCTGGGAGGCAGCACCGGAAGATGAGAAGTTCAAGGTCATTTTTGGCTGGATAGCAAAATTTAAGTCCAATGTGGTATACATGAGACCCTGCCTGGTGGACGGTGGAGGGTTAGGGTTTGAATTCTAAGATCATGCTGTTTTGGCTCAAATCCCAGTCCCACCTATGGCCTTTAGCAAATTACTCTCTTCTGAATTTATTTCTGCTTCTATTAATATGGAAATAATATGGTGTTATGTGGTTTGAATGAAAATGGCCCCCACAAGCTCATATGTTTAAATGTTTAATACCCAGCTAATGGAACTGCTTGGAAAGAATTAGGAGGTGTGGCTCTGTTGAGTAGGTGTGGCCTTGAAGGTGTGTCATCAGGGGTGAGCTGTGAGGTTTCAAAAGCCCACACCAGGCCCAGTCTCTCTATGCCTGCTGTTTGTGTATCAGATGTAAGCTCTCAGCTTACTCCAGTGCCGTGCCTACCTGCCTGACTGTCTGCTCCCCTCCATAATTATGAACCCTCTGAAACTGTAGGCAAGTCCCTAATTAAACGCTTTCTTCTACCAGTTGTCTTGGCCATGATGTCTCCTCACAGCAATAGAATAGTAACTAAGACAGGTGCCTACCCTGAAAAATTGAGATTAAATGAGATTAAAAACAAAAAATGGTGACCTATTGCTTCTGCCTTTCTTCTCCTACCTATCTCCAGATTTCACACAGCCCACAGCAAGTTTTTCTTCTGGGTGCCTAGAATAATTTTACTCCCTTGGTATGGATTACAAATTACCTTACAGTTTAATAGAAATATCATCATTCATAAAAACCATGCAGGAACTGTTAATAAGCATAGAATTTAGTTCTTTGAATCCTCGAACCCACAGAGATCCACCTGCCTCTGTCTCCTGAGTGCTGGAATTAAATGCTGTGTTACCATGCCTGGTTACATTTGTATTTTTAAGTCTCTGAGAAAAAGACAATAGGACCCTAAATTTAACCTCATAAGACCATGTTCAGTAGTTCATGTCTGTAGTTGAAGGTCATCCCCAGCTACATAGTTAAGTTCAAGTTCAACATGGGTCACTTCAGACCATTTAAAAATAAAAATCATTAATATAAAAGACGTTTTTTACACAAAACAAATACCTAACAGGTGTTGGGAAAAGTATACATTTCACAAAATAAGAAAATCAATATAATAATAGAAAAGAAATTCCCCCAAAGTGTTATTTGTAACCATATATTGGTTAAAATTAAAAAGGAATAATTTCCATAACTCACAACAAGATTGAGTTTTGTAAACCAAATTACTAACAAAGAGAACAGAAATTCGCCCTAGGAGATAATGATTAAGCTCTAAGTCAGGGCCAATGTACAAAAGGCCCTGGGTTCATTAACCTGCACCTCTCCATGCAAAGAAAATCCAGAAGGGAAAAATAAAAAAAAAAAAATATGAAAACATGAGAATACTTATAGAAGCCTAATTATAAGCAAAAACAACTTAAATACATCAATAGACTTGAATAACTAAACTATGCTAACCTATAATAATGTAAGTCTGTTACAAAAAGATGCTAATATTGTTGGGGGAAATGTATATAATAAAACAGCATACATAATATAATAATGCACATATGTAAAAATTAAAATTTCACACTAACCTATATATTAATAAGGAGGCTATTTAGCAAAATATACATAATGTTTATCTCTCAAAGATACACATTTAGGATGATTATATGAACATGACCATATACATGTTTAGTATCCTTTTATTTTTCCAATGATTGTCTGACAATTTTATGCCAGGATGGTTTTATAAATTTCTCAGTATGACTGATTTTTACAACTACCGCTCTTAGAAATACCTTTCATGTGTGTCCCTTTATAAACTGTATGACATGTACCACATGAACACATTCACTCACTGATGAAATGCTAGGTCACAAGTGTATACAACCATAGCTGGCCTGAAAACATGTTTACATACACATCTTTAAATGGTGTAGTGCATGTATCACTGGAGGCTAACACATTCTTCCACTCAAATAATTAGTATAATGCTTTTTATCTCTTCGGATGGAAATATGCCAAACTTCAAAACATAGAGTAGATAGATATGGTTGTGTATGTCTGTAACTCTAGCACTTGAGAGATGGAGGCAAGAATATCCTCAGTTTATTGCCAGCCTGGAATACAACATAAAGTAGGCCCCATCTTAAAAACCACTCCCCTCCCCAAAAAAATCAAAACCTGAAATAAATTAACAGAAGATATTAAAAGCAACAACTCTCTAGTGGTAACTTTCTTTCACTGGAGTGAGGAATAGGGTAAATGAGAATGAAACCTAACGAACTGGATATAACAGGAAGCCAGCTGCCTTCCATCACTTACGCTGGAGCTTCATTCCAGCACAGGGAAGACAGGATGCTGACTTCATCACCTCATGATGGGTAATGTTACACAGTAATAGACCGTTTTCCAAGATGAATGGCATCCCCAAAACACATTCTCTTGAACCCAAAGTACTCTATTATCTGAATGTAAGAATACCCCCAAAACAAGCATCAGCACAGTTATTCCCTGAGCTCCACAGAAATGACAAATGCTGAGCAAGACAATATACTGTGTCCCTGCAGAGCTTCGTGGGAGAACCTCCCACAAGTTAAGACAAGCAAGATGCTGTGAAGGATCTCTTGTTAACTAGTTCTCCACCTCCCAACAGGCCCAGCCTCTTACCATACAGCCATGGATAATGGGCACACCACTAGCTTTCCCAAGTTCTGGGGATTATAAGATGTATTTAAAAGTAAACAAACAAACAAAACCCAACAACAACAAAACCACATGGCTACAGGGATATAAATAAAAACTAAAATTTACCATTGCTGACATTCCTCAAAACCCTAGGTTTTCCCCTTCATGAAATAAGGAGCTTAGCAAAACACTCCTCTATAACAGATTTTACAAACTGTCACTGTTAATAGAACCAGGGTAATAAAACATGGTGCGCTCCAGGCCAGGGAAGCGTCTCCAAGTGAAGATGATACATATTGATGACCAGTGTTGTTTTACTTAGGGAAAGGGGGCCAACAGCTATTTCAAGACTTGTAAGAATGTCTTATAAGGAGCTGTCAGGCACAGGCAGCTTGGCCTCTGACAAGCTGACATTCTGAGTCCATTACCTTTAGGAGGGAAGTATGACTTGCTCTCTGCTTTATGGGGCCAGTCTACCACAAGAGGTCCAAACCTTCGAAAGCTGGCAGTGATCTCATCTACAAAACAAAGAAGGAATTTAGCAAAATGAGAAAACAAACAAACAAAAAACAACCTGCAATCATAAGAAAACATAAAATATATCTTTTTACTTTAAAAATGTATTGAGGGACCCCATTCTCCCTTTGCATTTATTTTTAGAGCTTTTCTATAGTATCTCTACAGAAGAAAACCTGCAAAGAGAAATGTAATTGCTAGGGAGTACATTTGCTTATCAGATTCTAACCATGAAAAATGTTTCTGACTCTAATTCCTTTCCTTTTACTGCTAATAATCCTAATAAGAAATTTGGAAGAAAAATCTAATGCTAGCCAAGGTGATCTTTATGTCAAGCAAAACAGGAGAGTCAAAAAATAAAAACGTAAATGTTTCTCTGTTTCTAGAAAAAAGGTAAAGATGCAGAAAATGTTTCAAAAAAAATTTCATGGACAGGGGATAAGGCTCAGTGCATAAAGGCCCATGCCATAAAGCCTGATGACCTGAGTTCAATCCCTGGGGCTCAAATGGTAGCAAGACAAATTGTTCTCTATGCTGTGGCATGCATACCACCCCTAAAATAAGTAAAGGTAAATTGAAAAATATACACATAATTATTTGTACAGAATCCACTTGTATGGAATCTCTAGGATTACTTTAGAAACATAATTCTATTGATGAGCAACAAGGATGTAAAAGGGTTCAAAGTCAATGTCTCTCTCCATACTGCCTTCTTTACTAAGATGTATACAAAACTTGAAGCTCAATTATTTTATATCTTTCTTTTCAGTTTTGACTCCCTGGGTATTGATTCTCATTCCATCAGCAACGGTAAGAAATTCATCTTAAAGAAAATCTAATCGACTGACAATATTAACACAAATATGTGGATAGCTAGAAGAAAATGAAGCTGTGGCCACCTACAACTTTAATGTAGCAAGTCTAAAACTAATTTTAGCACCCACATATGAACATACATGATGAAATGGCTAAAGAAACCATGACCTATTTAGATTAGTATTAGAGTTGCACTGACCAAGCCAGTCAGCATTAGGAAGATTTCCACAGCATATCCAAAGCCTATGAGAACTAGAGTAATTTCTTTAAATTTGCTTTATCATCATTTAATTTCATTTACACATTCGATGTGCGTCTACTGATGTTGGCTTGGAGAAGAATCAGGGTCTGAACACAATGCACAAAAGTTAGCTCTTGTAAAGTTCTTAATGCATGCATAGTACCTTCATCGATGTCAGGAGGAAGACCTCCAACAAACACCTTTCTAGAGTAGCGTTCCACTCGTTCCCCATTTTGACATCGAGTGGGAGAACTTAAGCCAGAAGATAAAGCCTGATCGCCATGGCTGTCATCCAAGAAGGCGTCTTCAAAGGGAAAGAGAGAAGACCGACCTGAAACAAAGTAGCAGTTTCTACAATCAAAATGGCTTTCCTAGAGAACAATGCGTATCAGAACCCATTGTAGCAAGTGAAGCATACAATACATAATGTACCTTGAGGTAAGCCTTTTCCAATAGAATACTTAACTGAAAATCACTAAGTACAGCCATGTTTGCATACAACACTGAAATGACTGAGATAATATCTAAGGAGGAAACATCAAAAACCCATCGAAGCTACTAAGTATATGTCTTCAGAGGAAGAATCACTCACAAGGCATCAACCCTAACTGAGGAACAGTTGGTAGTTGATGGTTGCATGAGTTGGGGGGTGGGGTGGGGAGGGAAGCATCTTTCTTTGGGAATATGTCCACTGGTAGGTGAATAGACCCACACCTTATGAACATGGACGGTACTAGACTCTACTGGGGGGGAGGGGGGAAGGAACCACATAAAGTTGGGAGGAGCGTTGTTGGGGACTCTGGAGTAAAAAAAAGAGGTAAAATCAAAATACATTTTATACATACATAAAATTCTTAAAGAAAAAAATATTATGTTAATAAAAGAATATATAGGCTATTTTTTGTTCTTTCATCTTTGAAAGTACACAGGACAATCTATGCATTTCTTTATCTACTCTTGATGGTGACTGACCTCAGGGGTACAGTTATAAGGACTGGCCCTGATGATAGAAGCTAACAGAAGCTAATGATGTCTCTCCTAATAGCAAGGCCAATGATGCTTTCCCTAGCATGCAAACATACTACAATTTGAAAATAAGCACATGCAACAATATTGAACAGGATATGTAAATAAAAATGCTAAATCAAGACATGGAAGTATAGCATGTGTATGTGGCTATGACTATTCCTATTACTCTATTAATACTATTACTCTAAACTGCATTTTAAATCATTCAACAAAACAAAAAACAGAACATGGTACCACATGAATTTAATCCCAACACTTGGGAAGGCAGAAGCAGGAGGATCTCTGTAAGTTCAAGGCCAGCGTGGTCTACATAATGAGTTCCAGGCCAGCCAGGGCTATAGTGACTCTGTTTTAGGAGGTCTGGCTTGATCAAACCACATTAGTCTGGAAGGAATTTACAGCTTTTCATTTTTTGAGGTACGGTCTTTCTGTGTAGCCCTGGCTATCCTGGAACTCAATACGTAGACCAGGCTAGCCTGAAATTCATAGAGATCTGACTGCTCCTTCCTCCTAAATGCTGGGATTAAAGGTGTGAGCCACCATGACTGGCAATTAGTTTCAATTTGGCATTTCAAAATAAAGCCCATATTAAAAAACAATTTTGTCTGAGTCTGAGTTCCTGGTAAAACTTTCCACTACTGTCTTGAGCACTCCAGCTTCGCAGGAAGGTGGGAAGAGAGGACAGGGAAGAGAGAGAAGATAAGGAAAAGGGGGAAGGAGGAGGAGAAAAAGGAGGGAGAACAGAAGAAAGGGAGAGATGGAGGGAGGCGCAGCAGCAGGGCAAACAAAGGAAGAAGAAAAGTCTAAGATAAACCCACACACTTTTAGGGAAACAAGCACACGAGCACACTAAAGCACCCTCCCATTTATTCAGTTCTCTTGATTTCCCTGAAAGCCAGGCTTTGTACAACAATAGCCAACATTCAAAAACAGAATATAAATAGCCTTAGAAAAATGGTGAATACTTCTTTTACCAAAAGGCAAAAAAAAAAAAAAAAAAACAAACAAACAAAAAAAAAAAAAAAAAAAAAAAAAAACATTGCTAATGTAATCATGCTATGTTATGAGCAACTCAGTGGTGTAAGGAAGGTTCTGTTTTGAAGTTTGGAGTTACTAAATAAAAGGGCCAAGAGTGGGGATAGTGAGACACCACGAGTTTTTTTTATTAGTTCTTCCCAGTGTAACTACAAAGACTCAGTTTGTGTCGCCGAGCCACCTATCCTTTTTCAGCCTGGCAGGAACAAACAACAGACAGTCAATTCTCATCTCCTGATGTTTGTTTGGATCACTGGGAGTAAAAGAAAGATCTGCAGCAACTACAGGCAAAATGAGCTTCCCACAGACATTTTCTGACAGCCACCAGGTAAACCTGCCACGCAGTCCACACTCCAAACCTCATGCCTACTCAGTGTCAGGCTCGTGTTCAAGCCAGCAATTCCTACAGAACGTCTACTCCCACCTCTTAATTCCAACGCAAGAACTATGAGACGTGCAAAAGACAAAAGCTGGTGGAGAAGAGGCAGAAATGGAGAGCTTCGTGTGTTCTGCACTGCCCTCTCAAGAATACAAAATGCTGTTCTGCAATACAGACGCATTAACTCACTCTGGCATTAACCAGAACTAAGATAACAGAAGCCTTTCACTCAGTGTTAACCACTTGAGGAGAAATGCATCCCTTTTCAAGAGCAGCAAAGTACCTCCTGACAAAGGAACCCCAGTCCAGCGAGGGAGCAGGAAGCACACAGGTAACTATGAAATAGTAGGTGCTGAGAGAAGTGAGTGACTGTGTCCCTCCTGTGCTATGCAAAAGGGCAGTCTGCAGCAGAGTTTTGTGGAGCCGGAGTTTGAATGAAAAGACCAAAGACCCATAGAGAAAATGCGTTCACCTAAGCTCCTCATCTTCCATTTACATCTGCTCCTCTCCAGCACTCCTGATGGTGGATGTCCTTCTGTATGTATACTTCTCTTATTGGCTGATGAATAACACACAGATTGGCCAGTAGCCTGGCAGGGAGTATAGGCGGGGCTACCAGACAAGGAGAATTCTGGGAGAGGAGGCGGAGACAAGCCGATAGAGGTATGCCATGTAGCCACAGAAGGAGTAACAGGTCTGGCCATTCTCCAGTAAGATAAGGCCATGTAGAAAATATATAGATTAATAAGTATGGGTTGATAGTTAAGAGAGAGCTTGCCAATAAGAAGCCTGAGCCATTGGCCAAACAGTTTCTAGCTAATATACGTCTCTGTGTGTGCTTGTTTGGGGCTGAAGGGTGGTGGGACCATGCGGAATATAAACTTCCATCTACATTCCTTAAAATGTTAACACACAGGCCCAGTGAGTAAAAGTGCCTACCATATGAATATGAGGACTGCAGGTCAGAGCCTCAGCCTATGGTATGGTGGCTCACCTGTAATCTTAGCATGTGGGAGGCAGAGGCAGGGAATCCCTGAGGCAGGCTGGCCGGCTGGACAAGCAGTCAGGAAGCTCTTGGCTCAAGTGAGAGATCCTGCCTAAATAAGTGAAGTTCAAGGTGGAGAATAATCAAAGAAGTCAGCCAACACCAACCTCTGGCTTCCACGAACATGCACACATGCACATCCACACATATGGGCTCACATACTACATATCACCTACGTAAGTGAAAAAACAAAGGCCTTTGTACATACCCGATTCAACACAAAATTTAGGATTTACCTTGATAATTCATATTGTCTCTCTCCCTCCCCTTACCCATATGAAATCCATTTCTTACTATGATCTACCAATTCAAGCTTCAAAATACAATTTTCCTTTAATCTCTGTCTGTCACTAGTCACTAGCCAAATCCAAACCACTATCTCTTCCCTTGTCTCATGGCCCTCACAGATTTCTACTAGAATTCAACAGTGCTTTAAGAGAAAGGGGGACAGAGAGGGGGGAGGGGGGAGCAATACCATGTGCAAAGCTGGCCATGATGGTGCCTTACTCCAGTAATCCCAGCACTCGGGGGAATGAGGAAGGAGGATCAGGAGTTCAAGGCTAGCCTGCATTACTTAGTGACCTCCAGGCCAGCCTGGACTGTAGCATGAGACTATCTGAAACGAAAACAGTATGCACAAAGACACACACACTTCTGTGAGCATATATGGCCATTCCCCAGGTGCGACCTAACTACTGTTGCTTTCACCTGCACAAGATTTATAGTCCATTCTTAGTATTAAAGATGATTTTCCTTTTCCCAAATACAACACTTCATTGTAACACTGGCCTTAAAAAAAAAAAAAAAATTTAAAGATTGGATCCCAGCACTTGGGAGGCAGAGGCAAGCAGGTCTCTATTGATATCAAAACCAGCCTGGTCTACAGAGCAAGTTCCAAGACAGCCAGAGCTACACAGGAAGAAATCCTATCTCAACACCCCCCACACTCCACCCAAAAAAGAAGGCAGGGTCTCACACACTCTAGGCTGGTCTCAACCTCTTTACTAAGGATGACCTAAGTTTTTAAAATTTTATTTTTAATACGTGCAGGTGTTTTGCCTGAATGTAGGCTTTTATGCCATGTGAGAACCTGATATACTCAGAGGCCAGATCCCCTGGAAAGTGAGTTACAGAGGGTTGTGAGCTACCATGTGGATAGTGGGATCTAACCTGTTCTTGACCCTGAACTTGTGCTTGTCCTGCCTGTGCCTCCCAAGTGCTGAGATGAACTACCACACTGGGTTTATGTCGTCTTGGAAACTGAACCCAGGTCTCCAGGCATGTTAGGCAAGCCCTTGACCTCCTACATCTACACTGTTTACAATGATGCCCTGAAAAGAATTACACTCCCATAAACTCTGTTTGTTGTTGTATCAGATGACTTCTCTAAGCTGCCTCTAACTATGTTTTGTCCCAAGCCTACAGTAGCTTCTGGGACCTCCACCAGCAATTTGAATCCAGGGAGGAGGGGGATGAGTTGAGATTATGAAGAAATCAGTGTGACTATCCAGATGGGTAATGAGGAAGTCTCCAACCACAGCAGTGATATCCGAGACATTCTTGAGCAAATCAAACCTTGTTTCTCGTGACCAACATAACCACAGCTTCCCCAGAGGAAAATAAAAAAGCAAGAGCTGTAAAACTCTGGACAGTTTTCAAACTCAGCTATGGGATGTTAAGATACTTTCTAAGGCTTTAAAAGCGAGCCTCTGCCTTACTAACAGCATTTAGAGTGCTTCAGGCCTTAGTAATGAAGGCAGCCTTGGGAACAAAACTGAAAATAGTGAACACATAAATGATGTTTCTAACTGTAAGAATAAGATTATGAGTTCCAGAACCCAGG